GGAACTCTGAGTCTGAAGCTCAGCACCAGGATATGTCAGGCCTGAAGGAAGAGGTTTGGCTGCCTCTGGGCTACATACCCAAGCCCAGGCCCACTCTAATGTCTGGACACACATAGGGAGGTGCATACCTGCATACACATACATATATGTACACACACACAAACATGCCCATACATGCCTCTGAAACCCTTCTGGGAAGTCATGGACTAAATGACATTCCTGTCCCTGCAGCCAAAGCCTCGTAGCCAGGAGACAGGGCAGACAGACAAAAAGAACACAACAAAGGTCTGTCATTTCTAAGGACCAAGATTTCTTTTAAGTCATGAAATAATACATTTGTACACACAATTTAAGGGGAAACATGTAAAACAAGCCATTTTACGCTGCCATTGATATTTCGAATGGGCTGTGAGAAGGTCTAAAAGGCACTACCTCTTTCTGTTGGGGACAAGAACACCAATGTTCCCTGTCTCTGCAGCCCGGAGTCCTGTCTAGCTCTTCTTCTACTCCAACTGTCACCTTCTCCCAGGGCCGTGGGTTCCTGGATCCACTGCACAGCCCTGGACTACGCCCATGTGATTCTGGGTGCACCATACACGGAGCATGTGGAAAGGATGCTGAGGAAGGGATGGCTTCTCAGACCCTCCCCACCCGTAGGAGCCCCACCACACCGAGTTTCTGGAAAGTATCTCTTGCTGCTGGGTCTGTGGACTCTGGAGTACTGGGCCAGATGAAAATACTCACCAGGCTGCTAGCCACCAGGTTCTCCTGCATGGTCAAGGCCAGCTAACAGGTCGTGGTATACCTTTCTGCTGTTCTGGTAAGGGGAGAGCCAAGGCCTCCACAGTGACTCCTTCTCTGCCTAGTAGGTTTTTCATGAGACAGAGAAGGAGATACTCTAGGCTGAGGTTAACTGTGTCAAAATGATACTCGCATTATCAGACTATAGGCCTGACTCTGGTAGAGCGATTTGAACCCAATATACAGGATCAAGGCCCTATTGGATGTGCCCACACTCTTCAGTCACAGGACCGCCAAGTTCTGTCTGTCTGTCTGGGCCTTTCTCAGCCTCTATGATTAATTGAGTTTTACCATGAATGGGAAGGATAGGCCAGGCCTTCCTAGCCACACTCTTCCCTGAGGCCAACAGGGAACTTGTCCAGGCAATGGGTCTAAGTTTCAGGACTGGTGGGGCCCTTCACTGGATCTGAACGACCTTTGAAACTCTGTAAGAAACACTCTCCAGCCCTAGAAGGGCTGCAGACAGTTCCACCCTCTAATCCATCAGGTGACAGGGGCTGCAAAGTGTGTACCCTTAGCAGGCAGAGCCCAAGTGACATCAGGGGCTCAACAGAATTGCTCTGTGGCAAGTGACTCACTACTCACAAGAAGGTTCCAGACCTGGTGCCTGCCTGCTTCTGTAGCCACCAACTTACAAAGAAATGAGGTCTCCAGGTCAGGCCCTGAGGGTCTATATAGTTCTTATAGATAACACAGCTGGCCAAGTCAGTCCCTGTCTATCTGCTCCCCAACTGATGACAAGGAGTGCTGGATCCTCCTGGGTCCAGAACCATGGTTCTGTGGCATGTTTCCATTCAGGAAGCCCCTCGTATGTCCCCAGGACAGCTGTTACTTTTTATTCCTCTCCAAAGGCTCCCAATCTCAGGGGAACGTGGACCCAGAGACTGGAGGAGAGGGGGGTAGAGCATTGGATCCCACAATTCCTGGGAGAAGAGTGTGTCCCAGCTTAAGCTTTCTTGTATGCAGATGTTCTGCCTACATGTAGGTCTCTGCACGATGTATGTGCCTAGTGCCTGTGGAGGTCAGAAGAGGGCATCAGATCCCTTGGGACTGGAGTTACAGATGGTTGTGAGACAACATGTGGGTGCTAAGAATAGAACCTGGATCCTACGGAAGAACAGCCAGTGCTCCTAACCATAAAGGTAGCTTTCCAGCCCATGGCTTTAGTGTTTTATGCCTGCATGAAGCCAAGCACTATGGGATCATAGGAGTAGTTACAGGGTGCGGGCTATTCTAGGATCATAAATGTTGGGAGCACAAACCTCCTTGTGCACACAAATCACCAGGGAAACAAGGAATGTAAGCATACAGGATTGCCTTTTCAATGGAAAATATGTAAAACCTGTTCTTCCATCCAGAAAGCCTAGAACTGGGCGGTGGTTAATAGCCCGATGACCTTCAATATCTGTTGGGCCAGGCAGTATCAATCTTCTGTCACCAGGACCAGAGGTCGCTCGAAATGACTGTTACATTACCCGTATAGCCATAGGCTCCCCCAAGCTCCCGCAACCAGGACCAGAGGTGGCTATAATAGCCCAAATGACCTCTTTGCTGTGTGACTGAAACCCATCTAGATCCTTCTTTAGGCCCTTAAGCTAGCACAGGTAGCCTATCTCTAGAACCCATCTTCTTTGGAGAAATGACATGTACCCTCAGTTGAGTTTTGATGTAATTATGCTTCCTTGTGCACCAGGGATTGTATTACACCAGGAAACTTTTCCCCAAAAATTATACGGTGTTTAAATTTGTTGGCAATAAACTGCCTGGCATCAGACTCCTAGAGGTTTGATCCAGGTTGACGAAGTCAGTTTGAACCAAGTTTGCATTCTCCCTTCTTTGAGGATCACTGCTGGTCTTGACACCTGCAGGGGCCCCTCACACAAGGATTCCCATCCAAGTGCCACAGGTAATTGAAAGTCCACAGTGAAGATGCTAAAATCAAGGAGGCCTTGTGGTGTGACCTGGAGGGGTAACCGCCGAATCAATTCCCTTCTGGAGGAAGCTGTCACGCTGTAACATGGCACCCAAGGTGTGAGAGTGTTATGTCCGCTGCAACTGTGTGAGCATCTGAGCTGTGTGTGGGTAGGGGCAAGTTTGGGGTACGAGCCTGACTCTCATGAAGGGGTGGCCAGCTTCAGGGGCTGAGGTTCCATCTGCACTGTCACTTTACCTACCTAGGCGGGGTCTGTGCCAAGGTTAAGCAGGAGGGCCTGAACTATTTATTGCGAGAAGCATGAGAATCTTTTAAGTGAACGTAACTTCTCAGCTTGCTTTGACCAAAATAACCTTAAATTTTATCTCATAAACTTTTCCTTTAAATTCTGTGTTTTAGAATAAGAAAGGAGCTGGAGAGATGGCTCAGTGGTTAAAAGCACCAGCTGCTCTTCCAGAGGTCCTGGGTTCAATTCCCAGCAGCCACAGGGTGACTCACAACAGTCTATAGTGGAATCAGATGCCCTTTTCTGGCATAAAGGTGTGCACGAAGATAGGGCAGACAAAATAAATAAGTCTTAGAATGAAGAATAAACTGGTCTTTCCTAGATGATGAAGGAATTATAAATATGGGAGAGGAGATTGGAATAACTCAGAGGTTCTGCACTGAATTGGAGGTGTCACTATGAACCTATGAAGATCTGGGGGGAGGCTTTTTTGTGTGCATGTGTTTGTGTGTGTAGCCCAGTATCTTCCTCAATTCCCCTCCACATACATACATACATACTTACATACATACATATATACATACATACATGCATGCATGCATGCATACATACAATTAATTTTCAAGACAGGCTCTCTCACTGAACATGGAGTCCATCAATTTGGCCAGACTGACTAACCAGCAAGCTCCAGGAATCCTCTTGTCTCTGTCTCAAATACTGCTGATCCCCCCTTTTTTGATTAGGGGATCAAAGTTAGGGTCTCACGCTTGAGAGACAGTCACTTTAACTGAGCTGTCTCCCCAGGCCTCGTGGAGAATTTTACGTGTGCATGTGCCTGTGTATGCACAGAAGCAAGAAGACACAGGGTATGTGCTTCTCTACTGAGCTCCTGGAAGCAACAAACCCAATGCCCAGATTTTCCAGCATCCAAGTTTTTGAGAACTCCCAATGTCATGGACATAAGCTCCAGCTCTCATCCAAGTTTTTTGGGTTCTCTCTATTAGAATAGAGGGGCCCCTCCACAATCTCTGGCCCTGTTGTGGGGGCATACCACTCAAGACTAAGAACCCTTTATGCTTCATGCAGATAGCACTGGACCTTCTGCTTAGAGTTTCTCAGGTCCCCTGAGCAACCTAAGCTCTGTCGTAACCCTCATCCCACAGTGACCCCCACCACGCCAGGTCTGAGCTCACCGCTCATTAGGTGAGGGGTCAAAGCCCAAGAAAGAAATAATCAGAAGGCCTGGAGAGATGGCCCAGCGGTTAAGAGCACTGGCTGCTCTTCCAGAGGATCTGAGTTCAATTCCCAGCAACCACATGGTGGCTCACAACCATCTGTAATAAGATTTGGTGCCCTCTACTGGCCTGCAGGCATCAGAACACTGTATAATAAACAAACAAACAAACAAACAAATAAATAAATAAATAGAAGTGATCAGAAAAGATGCTAGAGTGAGTGACAGAGTCAGAGTCACGCAGAACCGTGGGCTAGTTGTGTGGGGAGAGGAGGAGAAAGGGACCCAGGGCAGCTCCCTTGGGACCTTTAGACAATCCACTTCCTGTCTAACTCCTAAAGGGAGATGTCAATCCTAAGGAAGGGATTGAGGGGACCCTCCAACTCACAGGAGGCAAATCACAAAGTTCCTGAAAGGTCCCACCCCCAACTCAGGCCAATATTCAGTCCTTTCGTGGCTGTAGGAGTCTTATCTAGGAAAGAACTCACTGTGAGTGGTTCTAAAACCCAAGAGCTCCTCCCAGTGGAGGACAATCCTTATTGCTTGGAGAGGATCCAGAACCAGACCCAGCACCAAGTAGATGCTAGTACAGCAGAATACAGGTGACTCCTGGGGCAGTCAGGAGTCACCCCAATTCCCCTGAGTGGTTTATTCCACTGAGGCCAGTGGCCCCTAAGCTGGGCTGGAGTCGGGAAGAGCAGGAACTATTTCTCTTCCTCAAAAGCAGGCACCCTTAGGAGTCCTCTTAGGTTCAGAGGCTAATGAAAATGCTCACACAAGGCTGCGACCAAAAGAGAAACCAAGGCTCAGGTAGATGTGAATCTTTACTTACAGAAAAGCAACAGAGTCAGAGGCCCACCAGGGGCAGGGGCTTCAGCGGGGTGCTTTGGGGCAGGAGCACAATCACTGGGTGGAGAAGCATGAGGAGGTGCGCGGATCAAAGAAGCTGGTGGGGGTCGCTGTGAAGACAGAAGGGTCAGGGTGAAAGGGACAGGGGACTGGTGTGCTGGGCAGGAAGGCAAGCCCTGTACGCAGACCCGGAGGTAGCCTCAAGAGAGGGTGCACAGCTGGGTAGGTTTCTGGGACTGGCGGGAAGTGAGGGATGTGGGGAAATGGGGGGAGGGTGGCGTGGGGACAGGGAAGGGCGGGAGAGATGGGCAGGGCAGGGCAGGGCAGGGCAGGGCAGAGCAGGGCAGAGCAAGCCTGTGGCCTTTGAGCTAGCCAGTCATTGTTTAGGCAGAACACACTTACCCCAGTCAGTGGCAGGAGTGTGTGTGTGTGTGTGTGTGTGTGTGAGGGGGTCGGGACGACAGTCACTGGGGGGCCTGGGACGGCACGCCCTCCGCCTTTTGTGGGTCTTCTTTCTCTTTTATGGTCAAAGGCTCCCCTGATGGCTCTGTGCCCGCTGCTGCCGTTGCAGCTGCAGTGGACACAACCACTGTCGCTGGGGTGGGACCCTTATGCTCCCCCTTGGAGGCCCGGTAGTTGTTCCCAAAGGCAGCAGGCATCTCGGTGCCATGCTTGCGGTTCATCGGGTAGGCGCCCATGGCTGCCAGGATGCTGCGGTGGCGCTCGGGGTCCATCTCCGTGTAGTACATCTCCAGGGTCAGCGGGGTGCAAATCTTGTGCTGCAAAGGCATATTCCGGACCGGTAAGGGGACCAGGGATCATTGTGAAAGAGGAGGAGGAGGAGGAAGAGAAGTAGGAGGACGAGGAGGACGAGGACGAGGACGAGGACGAGGACGAGGACGAGGACGAGAAGGGTCATAATTAAAAACCCACAAAGGCAACTTTGGCTTCGGGTCACAGGGTCAGAGCCTGAGGTTCTTTGGAGAAGCGGGTGGTGTGAATTGGGGCCTTTGCCGGTGAGGAGTCTCTTAGAACCATGCTGTGTGGGAAAGGCAGAAAACAGACTGGTTTGGGGACCATGTTTGTAATGCCGGCATTGGGAAGGCTGAGTCAAGAGGATTGAAGTGAATCAGAGGCTAGTATGGGCTACATAGTGAATTCCAGAACAGCTGAAGCTAAAACTTTATGTCTTTTCTTCCCCCCACAAAAAAACCAGCCAGACTTCAGTACCTCTGTGAACTCCATCCCAGAGACCAGAGGATTAAGGGAAAAAGAGGAGACTACTTCTAAAATATGAAGCACTTTAAAAATATTAAAAAAATTTTAACTGCCATTAATGGAGTTGAGATTTTTAAAGTAGAAGGAAATATTTGCTAAATATGCAGAAAGCATTAATGCCCATAACACATTTGAAAGCCTCCAGCATCCAGCAGTGGTGGCACATGCCTTTAATTCCAGCACTTGGGAAGCAGACACAGGCAGATCTCTGTGAGTTCGAAGCCAGTATGGTCTACAAGAGCTAGTTCCAGGACAGGGCTGTTACACAGACAAACCCTGTCTCAAAAAACCAAAACTAAAACTACTCCCTCCCAAAAAAAGGCCTCTCGAATGGGCATACACTTCTTTCATCCCAGCACTTTGGAGACAAGAAATTTCTGTGAGTTCCAGGCCAGCCAGGGCTACACAGTGAGACCCTTTCTCAGGAAAAGAAAAAGAAGGAGAAGAAGAGGAAGAGGAAGAGGAAGAAGAAGAGGAAGAAGAAGAGGAAGAAGAAGAAGAAGAAGAAGAAGCCAAAGAAACAAACCTCTTGAAGTCTAGGAAAATGACTAAGGACTAAAGGACTCAGTAGAGAAACCTGCTGAATGCAGGCAGGTCTCCTCCCCAGGAGCTGGAGGGCACCAGGGCACTGAAGAGTTCTGCTAGCACCTCCTACTTCAGTTTAGATTAAAACACAAACACAAACAAACAAAAACCCTTCTCTCTTTTCTGTTTTTGAGTTTTATTTTGTGTGTCTGTAATTGTGCTTGAGTTGTCCAGAGGAGGTCTCCTTGAGATGGGGTCTCTCACTGAACCTGGATCAAGCCTTAGCAACTGTCCTATTTCTGTCACCCCACGGTGCTGGGGTACAGGCAGTCACATCTGGCCTTCTCTATGGGTTCTCATGCTTATACAGTATGGCCCATATTGAGCCATTTCTGCAGCCCTAAAACAACCTTTGCCTGGAAAGTTTCAAAAGATGGGCTCTCAGTATATTCTAGGAAGTAAGGGAATTAATCACATAGGGTCAGCCTTGTCATTTAGAAGAAAACCTAGGGGTGGGAGATGGGAAGCATTTATCTTTGATGCTGCCCCAGAAAGCCCTCCACATCCTGCCCTGGTCCTTGGAGACGGGAAGCATCCATCATTGCTGCTGCCCCAGAAAGCCCTCCACATCCTGCCCTGGTCCTTGGTCCCTCAGGCTTACCCGAAGCAGGAAGCCATCAGGGCAGGAGAACTGGTCATACCAAATGGCCTTGTACATGATCAGCACACAACCCATGAGAGCCATGACGAAGGCGATCATCCTTGCAGTCGGCACCTGGCAGAGGGAAAGGAGCAGAACTTAGTGCAGGTGAACTATGGCCGGGCCAGCCTCCCTGAGGGGACAGTCCCTAAGAACTGGAGCTGGGCACAATACCGCTGCCCCTACCTACATCTTGTCTCCTTCCTTGAGGTCAGCTCCGGGACCAAAAGTCCAGGAACTGTTTTTTTTTTTTTTTTGCAGGCCCCAATTTGCTGGGATTTTGTAAACATCTATGATAAAGTAAACTAACTGCTTTGGCCAATTAAATTGCATGCAGCCAATTGATCCAGAAGTTACCACTGGTTTGCCCTGCCCATGTGGCCTACAGAAGCTGGTGGTTGTCACAGCAGGAGGACTGGATGCAGGAAGCAGTGTGTGTGTGTGTGTGTGTGTGTGTGTGTGTGTGTGTGTGTGTGAGAGAGAGAGAGAGAGAGAGAGAGAGAGAGAGAGAGAGAGAGAGAGAAATCTAGTGAGGAAGGAGCATTAGTACCACCCCGGGTGAATACAAACAAAGGCCTCAGCACCTTTGATGGGCACAACCACTGAAAAAACTACGGGAAAGGGCAGCTGTTGCTTCTACAAATGAAAAAGCACTAGAAATAGTCAGCTAAAAGTGATTATTAAAACCATCATTGATGTGGTTAAAAGAAGACAAAGAGGAGACATTTTCCAGATAAAAGGTAAAGCTCCTATCTGTTCCATAAAAAGCCTGCAGAGAGGTAGACAATGACGGGCTGGGAGACAGGCACTTCCCATGGGAAATGTCTCCCAGGAGCTCAGGCTGCTCAGAAGAAGGCTGGGTAAGGATGGACAGCTAGCTAGTGGCCAGCCAGCACTAGAGGCGACATCTGAGTAGGATTGATCCCTTTTGTCCCTAGGAGACCCAAGTGGGACTCAGTCAGGCAAACAAGGCCTGAATTGCTCATCTGGCCTCTCCCCTGCTCTAACTTCCCTCAGGGAGAGGTGATATACTTACTTTGCGTCCTTCCTCTGGGTGGCCACAGGCCAACCTTTGACCCTCCAAATCTCCAAACTTCTTTGTCTGGTCTGAGGAGGAAAGCTGATATTCTGTCTGTGTTTTGATGAGAACCTAAAGGAAGAGATGGTCATGATATCATTGGACAGCTGGTGGGGACCCAGGAGAGCCCTGAACTGAGGGGGTTGGGAACTGGGGAGACAGAACTGACCGTGGGTCTGTACTGTTTGGTGGCCAGTAAGCTGTAGCATCTCAAAACTGAAGCTAGAAGGTGAACACTGAAGGTCTGATGGCGACCACACCTGTTCAAGGCCTAGCCAGGCTCAGGGTGCTGGCTCTCTGGCGGGAACTTCTCCTACTGCTCCATAATCTGGTTCCTCTCCTTCAGGAGGTTTGACCTGACTCCTATGACAGCTTCTAGAGTCTGGAGTCCCCAGCCACATGGGACTCAGACGTGGACAACTCTAGACTGTTTGTGTTCTTGAGGGACGAAGGATAGATCTGTTCTCAGCATTCACTGTTAGAGTAAGTGCAGCTAAAACCGATCCAGATCACTGGGGAGCTGCCCTGGGCTCCTGAAGGGCCAGACTAGGCCAGCCTTGGGCCACTTTTTGCTTCTTGCTGACTTCTACTAAAAGTCACCAAGCCCCTCAGTCACCTGCCTAAGAAGCCTTTTTTTTTTTTTGTGCCCTAACCTAGAGCCCTGTCCAGAAGAAAAGAATGATGTCCTAATTAATGTCACTATTGCTGTGATGAAACACCAAGACCGAAAATCAGATGGGGAAGAGTTTATTTGGATTACACTTCCACATCATTGTCTATCATCGTAGGGAGTCAACACAGGGACTCAAACAGCTGGAACCTGGAGGCAGGAGCTGATGCAGAGGCCACGGAGGAGTGCTGCTTACTGGCTTGCTCCTTATGATTTCTTATTAGAACCCAGGACCAGAAGCCCAGGGATGGGAGCATCCACAATGGGCTTGGTCAGCCTCATCAGTCCAGTCGTGAATTAAGAAAATGCTCTGTAAACCAGGCAGTGGTGGCGCACGCCTTTAATCCCAGCACTCGGGAGGCAGAGGCAGGAGGAGCTCTGTGAGTTCAAGGCCAACCTGGTCTACAAGAGCTAGTTCCAGGACAGGCTCCAAAGCTACAGAGAAACCCTGTCTCGAAAAACCAAAAAATAAATAAATAAAAATAAATCAATTTAAAAAGCTCTGTAGGCTTGACTACAGCCAGATCTTAGGAAGGCAGGTTCTCAGTTGAAGTTTTCTCCTCTTTTAACTATAGCTGGTGCCAATGTCACATAAAACTAGCCAGCACAACTGGTAACTGCAACTTGCTGGTCTTGTTAGATTACATCACAGTCTGAGTGTTTAAATTCCGAGGAATCCAGTGGTCAGTTTACCCTGGTTCGGATGGGTAGGGGCTCTGGATGTGAGAGCCCTAACAGGGAGGTCCCGCTTGCCCACGGTCAGTTTGGATTTCTGCCCAGCTCGGCTATCCTCAGGGCATTTTGGGGGAGGCAACATTGACATAAACCTTACCCATCCCTTTTCGTCCCTAGGCAAGCTGAGAAGACCTGCACTGCCTCAGGCTACTCACCTGGTCAGAGAATGAGGGCTGAAGCTGGCTGACATCTAGGGGGCTGATCAGAGGGACACTGTCCATGGCAGCCCCTTCGTGGCCTCCCATTTCCTTGCCTGACTTCCCAGAGAAGCTGCAGCCCAGCTTCACCATGGCGGGTGGCGGTCCTTGTCCCAGCCTAGAAAGAGAGTTCGAGTCACCGCTTACCAGTCATGCAATGGACAATCATACAACTAGTTCCGGAGTAAGGACCCAGAATGCCCCAAGGCTTCTCATGCAAAATCCAGGGATGTGCTGGAAGAGGTCCAGCTCTTGGTTACACATTCCCTCCTAGCCCCTCAGCAGTGCAGAATGGAGACCTCCGACCAGAGAATATTTCAAAATAGAACCACGATATCATCCTCTGGCCAGCCTGCTCGGGCATGTGTTTGAAGGACACATATTCCACCAGAAGGAAGGATTCAGGGAGGAGGTGGGACAACTGGACTTAGCAGGAGGCCCAGAGCAATGTAAATCTGTTAACTGTTGATACTTTAAAACAAAACACAACAAAGGTGTCTATCCCATGAAATATGGGACATGTCACTGTTAATTGCCATTGGTTCTCTATGTGAACTTCCAAGGAAGGTGACAAAAGTATACACTTCTGGTGGTGCAGGAAGACCAGCCCTTTGTGGGGCTGAGAGCCCATCCTGCCAGTCAGGCAGCCATGGCAGTCTGGAGGAGGGTGCAAGTCCCACTGACTCTGGTAAGTCAAGAGTAAAATTGTTCAAGGATGGAGAGATGGCTCAGCAGTTAAGAAGTTAAGAGGGCTTAATGTTCTTGCGGAGGACCGAGGTTGGGCTTTCAGCATCCACGCAAAATGCCTTCACAGCCTCCTGTAACTCTGGCTCCAGGGGATCTGCTGCCCTCTTCTGGCCTCCACAGGCTTCTGCATGCATGTGCTGCACATACATACACAGATATATAAATGTAGACAGAATAAATATTTCTTTAGAAAAGTATATACTCTTGTAGTGGCATTTTATTTGTATTTTAATAGATAAAGCTTGCCTAAAGATCAGAAAAGTAAAACAGCCATGCTGGCCAGCCTTACAGAACAGGCAGCAATGACACACACCTTCAGTCCCAGTAGGTACAGTATCTTGCCATAGAAACCAGGAGGTAGCGGTGCACACCCTTAATCCCAGAACTAGAGAGGATTATAAAATGAGAGGAGACAGCTATTACACTCAGTCACATTCTGAGGTTTCCTGGAGGGCAGGATCGCCATTTTCAGACTGAAGTCGAGGTAAGAGGCAGTGGCTGGCTGTTTTGCTTTCCTGACCTTGAGGTTGAACCCCGATTTCTGTTTCTGAGTTTTTATTAATCATGCTTCACACTCTCATCTTGTGGTTCCTCTCAGAGGGGAAGGGACCTCTAAGATGACATATGGAAAACAAAACATATTATTTAAACCGTCTCGGAGCTGTGTATGACGGTGCTTGCTTTTAATCCCAGCTTTTGGAAGGCGAAGGCAGGCAGCTCTCTGAGTTTGAGACCAGCCTGCTCTATACAGCAAGTTCCAGCTACTGATGCACAGTGAGACCCTAGCTCAAAAAAAGAAAATAAAATACTACAAAACAAAACAACTCCCCCATCTCACATAGAACTTCAATCTCAGATAAAATCATGCCAATATAACCATTTTAAAAAGGAAATACTGCCAGTGTGTTGCAAAATTTCCAGAGAAAGAACAAAAAAGCATTTATCGGCTCCCGAGGCTACCCCTCTTGCCTCCCGCCTACTGCTCTCAAGCACATTAGGAGGAGGAACTCCCAGGTCAGTCCCACCCACGGACAGCAGAGACCTTAAGTGAAACTTGAGCAAGCCGAGTTCCGCAAAACAGAAAGATCACCAAGGCTGTGTTTATTCGGGGTGTGAAATTTTGAAAGCAATTCCATGAGGCTGGGAGACAGCTCAGTGGGGAAAGTGCTTGCTGTGCGAGCCTGAGGACCTAGTTCAGATCCCAGCACCACACAGAAGCTGGGCCACGGCTTGCCTCTGCAACCACAGGGCTGGGGGGAAATGGGCAGAGAGGTACGGAATCTGGTGGTTCACAGCCGATTGCCAGCATAGCAGAAATGGAGAGCATGAAGCTCAATGAGAGATCCTGTCTCAAAGCTAGGTGCAGACGCACAGAGGAGACACCCAAAGTGAGCTACGTTCACACAGATGAGTGTACCTGAACACACAAGCACGCATAACACACACACACAAACACCCCCCCCCACACACACACTACATACACAATACACCACATATACACACATACACACACATACACCACACTACACACATACACACCACACCCACCACACCACACATCACACCCCACACACACTACATGTACACACACCACACACACAAAGCACACACACCACACCCACACATACACACCACACACATCACATACACACATACCACACACACACCACACCACACACACCACATACCCCATACCCACCCCCACCCCCACATATACACAAATATACACCACAAACACGGCACACACACATACACTACATACACAACATATACACACATACACATCACACCACACACACTACACATATACACACTGCACCACACACACATACCACATACACACACTACACACACATATCATAGAAACCACACACACACCACACAAACACATACACCACACATCCCACACACATATACCACATACACACACGCACATATACATACACCACACACACACACACCACACACACCACACACACAAATACATATACTACACACATGTACACACATACAACACACACACACACAAACCCAACAGGTTAATGAAGGTAAGTTTTGTTGTTATTTTGTTTATTTTTTGTTTTGTCTTTTGAGCCATGCTGGCCTTAAATTCCTGATCCTCCTGCCTCAGATTCCTGAGTCCAGGATTACAGGTGTGCATCATCACCTTGAATCTGGAATCTGGGTCTTCTGTTTTGGCGACCATGGAGATGTAGATGGCCTACACTGATGGGGGGTGGTTTGCCCAACAATGGCCTGCATAAGCTCATATAATTGAATGCTTAGTCACTAAGCAGTGTCACGAATAAAGGGATTAGAAGGGTTAGGAGGTATGACCTTGTTAATGAGAAAGTGTGTCACTAGGGATAGGCTTTGAAGTCCCAAGCCAGCCCCCCCTACCCCCCACACCCCCGCCTGTGGATCAGCTACTTCTGTCTGCCATGCCAGGCTCCCCTTTATGATGATAATAGACTAAACGTCTTAACTGCAAATAAGCCCCCCATTGGTTTATTTTATGAGTTGTCTTGGTCATGGTTCTGCTTCACAGCCATAGAAGAGTGGCTAACCCAGCTGATGAAGTTCCAGAAACTGCGGTCCTGAGTACTCAGCCAGCACACTTTCACCAGGCAAAGAAACCAGGACAGAGGTTCAGAGAGCAATACAGATTATTCGTGGATGAAATAGCTTTTGTATTTAAACGCGAAAACAAATCCTCCACATATAAAGTATAAAAATTGAAAGTGTACAGGGTCAGTGAGATGGCTCAGTGGGTAAGAGTACTTGCTGCCAAGCCTGAAAACCCGAGCTCAATCCCCAGAACTCACGTGGTGGAAGGAGAGAACTGCCTCGTGTGGGTGTGCTGTGACCTCTTCACCTATGCTGTGACTTAAGGCCACTCATTCACACGCAGTCAGTAGGCGCGATAAAGACTTTGAAGGGTTCAGCGGTTAAGAGCACTGGCTGCTCTTCCACAGGACCGCTGTTCAGTTCCCACCACCCACACAGCAGCTCACAGCTGTCTGTAACTCCAGGTCCAGGGGCTCCATTGCCTGTTCTGAACTCCAAGGGCACCAAAAATACATGTGGCACACACACAAATATACATGTAAAACACTCATACACACAGAAATTTTTAAAAGTCCAGTTAAATTTGAGTTCTTAGCAGATATACTTCTATATGTCGGTGGCAAAAATATTTTTGAGAAAAAAAGTGTTAAAAATTTTTATTTTTAATGATGTGTTTCTATGTGTGCAATTTCTTCTATTATGTTTTGCCTGCACGTATATCTATGCCCACTTGCAGAGGTCAGAAGAAGGTGCCACATCCCCCGAAACTGGAGTATTATGTGTGTCTGTTCATGCAGCTGTTCTCAGAAGTCAGAGGTGTCAGATCCTCTGAAGCTGAAGTTACAGGGAGCTAGGAGTTGCTTGGTGTGGATGCTCAGAATACAATTTAGGTCCTCTGTGCCCTCAACCCCTGAACCATCTCCCCAACCCAGTTTTTTATTTATTTATTTTTTTAATAAAGTTGGGTCTCACTATATAGCCCTCTATAGTTCAAGGCTGGCCTTGAACTTAAGATCATCCTGCCTCAGCCTCTCCGGGTGTGAGCCAGGTAAGGTTCTATTTAAACAGTTCCAAAGTCCAGGACAGAGATGATGTGCAGGTGCTCCTTATGGAAGGTCACGAAATAGTGACAGGGACCCAAGGAACATCTGAAATCCTTTATCAGGTAGGGAAGCCTCTATAGTGCGGATTTGTGGAGGTCTTTATGCTTAAATCCCCTGACTGTATTTGTAGAATTAACAACTTACAATCAAAATTCTAACAAATTTATGAACTTGAAACATCAAAATTGCATGTATAAGGTAGAAAGATAGGAACACACAAGATGTCTTGACAAAGGAAGTCTGTCTGCTGGGTGTCTGCCTTGAACACAGCAGTGTACACTGGTGGTGTTGATGCCTTGCGGAGAGAAACCCATTTGACACATTCTAAAATTCAGACCTCAGTTAACAGCAGAGAGGCTGGTTGTGTCTTAATAGTTAAGGCTACCTGGAGTGAAGCAGATCCCATCACTCCAGACATATCTAAACACACAACATGCGCACACACAGGTGCACACGCAATGCACACATGAACACAAGAACAAAGCACTTCATAGACAATGCAGGAGAATATTTCCAACCCCAGGAAGAGAAAGATTTTGCCAGCAACGCTCAGATTTCACCAGACTTCCTTTTATAGAAGAAAATCTCAATAAATTACCTTCCATGTTGAAATAAAAAACCCTTGCCTAGCCGGGCGGTGGTGGCACACGCCTTTAATCCCAGCACTCAGGAGGCAGAGGCAGGCAGATCTCTGTGAGTTTGAGGCCAGCCTGGTCTACAAGAGCTAGTTCCAGGACAGGTACCAAAGCTACAGAGAAACCCTGTCTCGAAAAAACCAAAACCCAAAACAAAACAAAACCCTTGCCTATCAAGACAAGACCTTCAAAGAAGATAAACAGAAACTCTGAGAGATATTTGCAACACACAAGTGACAACAGGTTGTTGAGGGTTAACTGATGACCTCACAGAAAGGACACTGAGTTTTAACTCTTAGTACCTGTGAAAGAGATTTTATTTGAAACAGTCCTTATCGTTGTAATGGAGTTAAGATGAGGTCATATTAGAATAGAGAGGGGACGGGTTTATTCCACCGTGAGCATCCTTATAAGAGGGCTTGGACCTCAGAGAACGCCTTCTGCAGATGGAGGCAGGCTGTAATTACACAGCTGCTACCCAAACACTGCTCAGGACAGCAGAGACTGGAAGGAGCAAAGGAAAACCCTCTCCGTGAAGCTTCATCTAAAGCACGGCTCTGCTAAAATCTGATTATGGACTTCTTGCCTCCAGGATGGTAAAGTTGGGGTTCGTTTGGACAGTCACCCTTGGGAGGCCAGCTGACCTCTGCAGACCTGCAGATGGCCACTGCTTCTCCTTCTCTACTGGCTGGGCCCCATAGATGTGACAGGCGTTGAGGAACACAGAGAAGATGGTATTTCAAAGCTGTCTAGTGTTAGGGACAGCTGGGGGCAGAACTTCCCAGGGCAAGAAAGTAGAGAAGGAAGGCTGGGTAGGGGGTGGGGGAGGTATGGCTATTTGGAGGACAGGAAGCGGCATCAACACTCCCTCCCCCATCTCAGCAGACCCTCTAAGACCCTGCTCTCTTTGACGTGTGTTACACCTGTGACCTTCTGCCTGGCCCAGCCTTTACAGAAACCACGTAGTTGCCAACCAAGAGCCTCTTTAAGAGGTGGATTCGGCCCTAGGGAGGAAGCTGACTCTACGTTGGCCCGAGAACGTGGGCAATCGGATGGCTTGGGGGCAACCTGTTAGGCATTGCGATAGAGACGGACCGGAAATTATTATGAAGAATATAAACGGCGGGGCCAGGTGATACGCGGAGGTAAAATAGTCAGGAAAACGGGAATCGACAGAAGATGGCGTCCTCGCCACGCCTCCAAGTCTCTATGACGGTCCACAAGACTCCCCGCCCTCACCACGAGCTCCGCCTTCGGTTGCCACGGTGACACAGCTGCTGGCCATTTACGTCACCGCGGGTTCCCATGGCAACGGAGGCAGCCCCGCCCCCGAGTTCCACGTCAAGTTTCTAGTCCTCCACGGCCACAGTCAGAACATCAGCAAACGAAGGGCTCTGTGTGGAAAACTCTCCCCTCCTCTCAGCACACAAGAAGAGTCCACCCTGGATCTTGGGGGCACCGCTGGGAAGATGGCAGGGATCATAAAGCTTTAGAATTGAGAAGGCGCCCCAACATCGTTCACCAGTCCTTCTCTATCCTACTCTGTCATTTTGTCTCCTGGGGGTTTGCTGCTCATTCGCAGGGCCCTCGTGGGGGTGGGGCTGGGCATCTCTGGTCACGATCTGGGGTTTGTGAACCGACAAGATATTGACGGACAAATAAACGAAGGCGGATGCGGACTCTTAATTGACAGCCCATAAAAGCTGGGCCAGAGGTCACAGACTCGCTTGCACACGCACTCTTTCATGCTGCGTCACGAGAAGTGCACACTGGTGCGGACTCGTGCCCTCCCTCCCCCGCCTCACCACCACGGCCCTGCGGCAGAGCCCACCCTGGTCTGCTTGCATCGCAGCCCTGTGGGTAGTCGTTTGCCTCTAGTTTTAAGGGTTGTTGTTCTGCGGGGCTCAAGCAAAGGGGGACGAAGAGAAGGTGCACGGTTGATTTTGGCTTCCTACACTCACCAGCCACCTGTGGCCCAGCATCCGGAACCGAGCTGCGGCAGGTGGTTTGAGACAAGTGGCTGCCCTATCTCCTACCCTCCTCGAACCTTCACGCAGCGACCCCCATCATGCCCTCCCATGCGCAGACAGCTAAACACTCAATACTCTGGTCAACGCCCCTTCTGCTGACCCCTCTCTCCCCATCTGGCTGTTTTCCCCTTTTCTTCACCCCACCCCCACAGACAACCCGAACAGGAGCTAGGATTTGTGCCCCTAGGCCAGCTTGACGGTGTACAGCTCCCACTGGCTCTTCCGGACCTGCAGAGGTGGAGCCAGACCACAGGAAGGGGGTCTGCAGTCACCTTGGACTGGGTGGACTGAGGTTCAGCTGTCCCACTGCCTCTGCTACCCTACTATGCCCACGACTGGGAATTCCAGCCTCGTATGAGGTTTGTGCTGGCTGAGCAGCCATAATTCTTTCTAATGTCCAGGTTGCCATTGGCCTGTAGGGGTTTCTCGACATACCTCGAGGTCTAGGGACCACTCCACCTCAAGGCAGCAGAGCTTCCCCCAACTGTCCTGAGAGGTCTAATGACCAACCTCCACCCGAGCCAGCAGGGCCAGCCTGACTTCTAGCGGAGACCTCAGGGAGGAGATGGTTGTGCTCCACCGCTCTGGCAGCCATCAGGTTAGCCAAATTATTCCCACATATACTCTCAACCCCTACACCTGTATCTTTGCACATACATTCCACACGGGCACACTCGCACACTCTTGCACCCGCCTCCCCCCCATCCTCGCACCTCTCACATCCCTGTACCCTTGAACACCCACGCACACATTCTGGCCCCCTAGTCCCCATTCCAAAAGAAGAAACGTGGAAATGGCTCACAGGCAGTTGCTGCAGGACGCAGTCGCGGGAGGACAGGGATGCGGTGTGGATGCGGAGGATGCAGTTCCAGCCGCTTCGCCACCAGGCGGGGCTGGCAAGGGGCTGGAGCCTGAGAACGAGGCTGTGGTTGCCATGGAGATGCAGGCTGGAGGAGGGACCACTGTGGCTCAGGTAGCCTCACACCCCCTCCCACAGCAGGCCTCTGTACTGTCTCTCATCAGCCACACACCTGACACACACATTTCACATACGCCTGACATACACTTCACATACCTGATACACACTTCACCCCTCCCCATATCACATACGGCTAAGGCACACTTCACACACATTTTCACCCCTGACACGCACAGCATGTAGAATCATACACCACGCCAGCTCTCACACTTCATCACTTCACTGTACAGACGCCAAACCTAGGAGCACTGGCTGCTCCTCTAGTTAGGATTCCCGGGTTTAAGGAGGAGCCAGATCCTTTCCCTGACATCTCACAGTAGAACCTGGGGTCAGAATAGCTGAGGTTGGCTTCTCTTCTAGAGGGTACTCCTCTAGGTGCCAGCATCTGAATTCCTGGGCTGGAAGCTTTCCTAGGATTGGCTCTGTCATCTTGGTCACTGTTGTTTGTGGCATGCCGGTATGCAGGTGGCACGGACAGACGTTTGGTTGAGTGTATGCCATGCTTCCCACAGGCCATCTGTAGCGGGCATGCTCCTCCAGGTCTTACACTCAGCAGTGCTGATGAACAGTGGTGAGTCATGGCATGGAGAGGTGTCTGGGTTGTTCTCTTTTGTGTCTGTTGCTCAAAATGTAACAACATTCCCGGCCAAGTCTTTATAAGAAGTGTGCTTTTATTGCTTGGGTAGATGCTGGAAAGTGCCACTGTTGTGAACAGCCAAAGTGGGTGCTGGGAACTGAACTCTAGCTCTCTCCAAGAGCATCAAGTGCCATCTCTCCAGGCCCAATACTTTTTTACATTCCTGTCAGCTGCATAGAGGAGCCCTAGCTCTCCACAGTCACCAGCATTTGTTATTATCTGGTAATAGACATTGGCATCAGCCTGCCAGATAGCCATAACAAACTACCACGGATGGTTAGTCTTACCATTTTGGAGGCCAAAGCTCTGAGATCCAGGTGCTAGTGCAGGTCCTGCTGATATCGTGCTCCTAGACTTGTGTAGACAGGGTCTCTTCCAGAGTCTTCTAATTTCTTCTTAATAGGACACCAAACAGACTGAATTAGGGCTTACCCAAATTACCCCCTTTTAAATTAACTACTTATCCACCTCTGCCTTCTTTTCCTCTTTATCTTCCTGTTCCTCTTTCTCTTCTCCTTCTTGAGACAGCATCTCATGCAGCCTTGGTTGCCCTTGAATTCTCTGTATAACCTAGAATGACAATGAATTCCTGGTGTTCTTGACTCCACTTCTTGAGTGCTGGGATTAGAGATGTGCACCACCGTACCCATTTATGTGGTCCTCAGAAAGGGGCTCAGGGCTCTCTGCGCATGCCTGGCAAGCATTCTACCAACTGAGCTACTTCCTTGTACTGGTCAGTGTTCTCTACAGGAACATAACTGGGAGAATGAATAGACATGTATATATGCGATCTCTTACATTGGCTTAGCGTATGTGATCCTGGTCGTCCAACAATGACTGTCTCACATTGGAGGCTGAGAATCCAGCGATTTTTCAATCCAGAAGGCTAGATGTCCCAGCAGTCCCAAGTTGGCCCCAGAAGCCTGGGGGATTCCTGAGGAGCCGCTGATGTCTGGTCTATGTTGGAATCCAGAAGTTAATGTCAAAGCAACAGGATAAATGAACTTGTCAGCGAGAGTGAGAGCAAACAAGCAAAAGGCTGGCTTCTCTCTTCCATGTCCTTTTATCTGGATTGCCTTCAAGATCTAGGATTTTTCTTCTTGTACTCAGTAGCTTGGGTAATAATCGATCCCAGATGCAGCCAAGTTGACAGCCAAGATTATTCATCATAATTCTCAACTCTTATGCTGGCTAGATTTATGTCAACTTGACACAAACTATAGTCATCTAAGAGGAGGAAACAACTGAGAAAATGCCTCCATAAGATTGGGCTGCGGCCAGCATGTAGAGCATTTTCTTGGTTGATTTTTTTTTTTGAGGTAGGGTCTTCTGTTTGTTTTTTTTTTTGTTTTGTTTTTGTTTTTTTCGAGACAGGGTTTCTCTGTGGCTTTGGAGCCTGTCCTGGAACTAGCTCTGTAGACCAGGCTGGCCTCGAACTCACAGAGATCCGCCTGCCTCTGCCTCCCGAGTGCTGGGATTAAAGGCGTGCGCCACCATTGCCTGGCGAGCATTTTCTTAATTAGTGATTGATTGGGGGGGGTGTCCAGCACATTGTGGGTGGAGTCACCCCTGAGCTGGTGATCTTAGGTTCTAAAAGAAAATAGACTGAGCAAGCCATGTGGAGTAAGCCAGTAAGCAGCTCCCCTCCATGGCCTCTGCCTCAGTTCCTGCCTCCAGGTTCCTGTCCTGTTTGAGTTTCTGTCCTGACTTCCTTCTGTGATGGAAGCATAAGTCCAATAAACCCTTTCTGTTGGAGCCTTCCGATGAGTCAGTCAATCTGAGTACCTGGAAGGGGGCGGGTGCGAGGGTTGGAGAAAAGGCAGGTGAAAGAAACTGAGGCAGAGACACAGGATAGATCCGGGAGGTCTTTTGGCCAATACCAAACAGCCCAGAGTTTATTTCCGAACTTGCTTTTATACAGTTAAGAGCAGAAAGCAGAACAAAGAGCCGTACAGCCAGGTAACCACCTCCCTGTACTGTCCTTGGGAGAAGGCACAAGCGGGCTCGCTGTCTATCGGGTGAGTCCTGCCAGCAGCAAGTAGTTTCCTTTTCTGTGCCTTTGGCTGGCATACACCAGCCTGTGTCTTAATAGATAATGTATTCCCCCCTCCCCAGTGGGCTCAATCAGAACTTTCTTCCAGCCCTCAAGGAGACTGAAACAAGCAAGCTTAAACTCAAATGATTCATAAGCAGAATAGACTCTGGATGGAAACCAGGGTTCCTTGTGGGCCACCACACCTTTCCTCCCCATCTTGTTTTTTGATCATGGTGTTTCATCACAGCAAGAGAAGCCCTAACTAAGACAGCCCTTCACAGTCTTTTAAAAAGATCCTGTCTACAACTACAGACACTGTCTAAATGATTAGAACTTCAGTGTGGACTTTAGGGGAGACCCAGTCCACCAAACAGGCATGCACGGTGCACTTTGCACCTTGTACTTATTGCTCTGGTGGCTGAAGCTTGGCATCTTCTCATGGGGCCATTAGTCATTTGTGTGTCTTTAGTGAAAGATCAATTCAGATATTCTAAATGTTTTTCAAGCAGGCTATTTGTCTTCTTGTTATTGAGTTCCTAAGAGTTTTTTTTTAAAACAGTTTCATTGACCATTGTTAGGCTATGCAAAAATCTAGAAATAATTTTGGGCACACACACACACACAAAAAAAAAACCCGCCAAATAAATAGTAGTGGGAATGTAGCAACAATATGTAAATTTGATACTTTTTCCATAATATGAGATTAGCAACGTTTCAAAGGGCACATCTTGTGTCAGGGTAGGTTTTGCTCACTGGCAAAACCCTTTTGAGCCATCAGAGTGCCTGGCAGCTCCATAGGCTCTGGCCAGAAACCTTTGAGATTGTCAAGGGAGGTGCTTGGATGGCAGTCCAGGGCTATGCTGAGCCCCGTCCATTTCAGCTGGAAAAGCATCGTCCAGCTCGTAGCCCGCAGATTTAATGGAACTACTAGCATTAATCTACTGTCCTCTAAAACCAGATGCATGAAACAACTAAAATTTATTATGAAAATCCCAGGTAGTATAAACTATACATAACCAAATTTGAAAAATTATATTTATACACTGAGTTTCATTACCCATATAAATAGGAATTCCTTGCACTCCTACAGTATGGTTTATAATTTCCTTGCCCTCTTCCTCAGGCATAGAAGGTCATTAGTTGGCATGCCTTTCTTGCTAGGATTAGTTGATGACCAAAGGTGATGATTAATTTCTTGTACCCATTTCTGCCCTCAACCTCCTGATATAAAAAAACTATTAATGAGTGGGTATGCATCCTAAAGATTTATAGTAGAGCTGATTGATTGTTTTTCGTGTATAAAAGTTTAGGTTTGTGATTCCTTTATCTTACGTTCAAGATAAGTAATAAAGTGATTGGTCCTTTCTTTGTAACCACAAAATAGTCTACCAGTAAAAGAATACCTTGATTGTTCATAGTCTGTTAATCTATAACAAGTTGCTTGGGGATGAATGTACATGGGTTCTTGGGATAATTTGTTTTTCACCTGTAATACGTAAAATGTTTATTTGTGTTATGGGAAATGGAAAGCATGTTGTTTTCTACTTGTATTCATTGTAATCATTCACTTGGAAAATAGAATGTAACCACACTGTAATTTTTATATGGCCTGGAAGATTTTGCTGGGGTATATAAGCTGTAAGGGAAAGAATAAAGACAGAATTAGAAGGAGTTAGAAGGAAAACATTAGGAATGAGAGAATTAGGAGGAGAACATCAAGAAAGAAGAAATATATCAAGAGATAAAGAAGGGACATTTCTGGATAAAGGAGAAAGGAGAATAAAGAAGAACAAAGAAAGAGACCATCAAGAGCATGTGTGAGTGTCTTTCCACTAAGTTCCTCACAGACTCCATGAATTTCCCTTTGAGCCCTGCGCTGCTGGAGGCTGGCCCCAGGCAGCAAAAGGTAAACAAGAGAATTCACTGATCACAACAGGAATATCTCTGTCTCCCCAACTTACTCTTTTGTTAATTGGAGAATTATGAATATAAGCCCAGTAAGCATGTTTAGTCTCTGTTACCTGGACAGTTACCACAGACAGCACAGCAAGGAACAAAGTTGTCACATTCAAAGGTTTCCTAGCCAACCAAATTACCGCATCTCCTTCAGTCAATTTCTTAAGCTGTCCCCATGTAGGAAAATCAGCTGTCTGCTTTAAGGACTTTCTGTATCTCTTTCTTCCACAACTTTCCACTCCTGCAGAAACATAAGCATACCCTTGGCCCCATTTTAACACCTTTTCTGGTTGTCATTCTGCTGTTAAAGCATCTTCAAGCTGACTTCATTCAG